AAGGTGACAGTTTCCACTTTTTTTCAACACTGGCTGGTGTGATTTAGTAGAATAGAAACGCTATCGAAAAATATACGGGACGGCCAACACCCACAATTCAACGAAATTTGCGTAAATAGAGCTCTATAGATAAAAACACTATCGCCTGTTAGTAATCAACTAAATTATGACGCGCTGGTTATATTTCTAGATTAGGTACTTTACTTTTTTATAGCGCGCAACGTTCAAACTCCAAACTGATAAATCTTATTAATGTACAATAATGAATTGCGTGTACTGATATTAATGTCAAAAGGAGCACGTAATCGTATAAAAACAAACGATGAAACGACACACCCACTCAAGTAACTCGATCTTTTGTCTATTTTAGGTGTGCTAAGTTTCTGTCAGTCTAACTAAAGCACGATTTGACTTAGAATTATTGCACAAGAAATGTATTACTGAAGCAATTATAAACAGAATGAGACACAGTGGAACTCACCGGTTTTTAAAACTTATACAATAAACAGCTTTGCATACAAAGTTGACCCCATTGTCTTCAGGATCGAGACAGCATCAAATGTAACAAAATTCACACGCCAAAAAATATATAGAAATTATTTTGGACAACTATCATGAGACAAAATAAAAAAAATGTAGGCAGATACTCGATTGTAAATCTCCATGCGTCTAAGTCAGTTGCGCAAGCTGCTCGTGATATAAATCGCAGCTAAATATTTAGATACATAATAGGTATACTTATACACTTTTGTATGCAAATTCTTTGAAAACTATTTATGTAAAACTTAGTGTAAAAATACCAAGAGTAGTATCAGTAGCAGTAGTAACTACTAGTAAATAAGTACCTAGCTACTAGTACCTCAAGCTTTTCGCAGTTTTTAAATATAAAGTCGTTAATTTCAATAAAATAGCAACATTTTCATACGTTCTTCCACATAACACAAGACACAAAGAATGGATCAGGAGTAGAGCACTAGATAATTCCATAATAATTGGAATTAAGATTTATATAGGTATATTTGAATGTAATGTCTGATGATAGATAATAATCAATTTGAGACTGCAGACCTTATTTTTAAATAATTACCACAATTTACCTACAATGCTCTACATTACATTCTGAGTAGTTAGACTTTGATAGGTTTTATAACGTAAGTAGGTATTTATAAATAAATAATAATTAATATATACTATATATAATTTTCAAAGAGGAAGGACAAAATTCATCCGCAAAAAAATAAAAGTCTACTAGAATACCCGTTGTACCTATGTGTTACATAAATAGGCAATGGGGCCTCAGTGAAATCAAAACTTGATAACTAAATATCTTTGTTATTGACACAGCAATTTTTCACAGTATTTCGTAATAATTTATGTATTTGTTTCTAGGTCTGTGTAGATCCCAAAGATAGATAATTTTTACTTCACCCGATACAGTCGTGATTAGTCTCTGATAACAATGGAACAGACTAACATAACAGCAAATTCATTCTGATGACTACATCGAAATGACTTAGCATACATTTTACGCAGTCATTATCATGGGTGTACTGTGAAGAAGTCCACTCTAATTATATAAGTGGACAATTGTAGATATCTCTGTTCTCACCAGTGACACCAGTGTGAACAAATATCCTAAAAACTGAATCGCTCGATGGCTTTGTTATATCTAAGTAATGTTTAATCATGTTACAGTTCGACCTGATGCTCTCAGAGGACGGCAGTGGTCGTGGTGCCGCCCTAGTAGCTGCAGTGGCCTGCCGCCAGAGTGGCTCCGTCGCGTAAACAATATCTGCCTGCACCGCACACGGCGAACTCTCCGACGACGTGATCCCCGCGACAACATAACTCTGAGCCTTCGCATGTAAGCCGCCTAAGCAAACAGACACTGCAGTGATTATTTCCTTAATACTAACAATATATTTTTTAAAACATATTTACACCTACGTGTACCTTTTATCTCTAAACAATTTTTAACTATTGTTTAGTTTTGTCAAATCTACAATATACTACTACTAAACTACTATTTAAAAAGATGGATTCATCTTGTTAATTCAGCAACTGTAAATAAGACAATATTCGTTTCCAAAACTCTTAACGGCTTTCATGCATCTGCTCTCTGTCGGGTAAAAAATAAATGTCGTTGTTAAAAATATTTCTGTCCCAATCTTTTGGCACGTTAGACACTAAGATTCAATATTTCGCCAGATACGGGAACTGAATTTAATTGCAATTTGTTATGTACTTATAATGACTTAAATCTAGTCATGGAATTAAGAGCTGGCCTTTATAAAGTTCTGTATTTATTATTTTTTGTATATTTTATTAAGGCTCTTACACATTTAATTTTTGAAATAAAATATAAGACTGATGTATAGATGATATTATCATCGATATAATTAGTCTACAAAATTAAAATTGATCTTAGTGTCGACCGGAAAACCGCGATACCGAGCATTTCCTTGCCAGCACACTGTAACATGGCTCAGAATTCTTTTCAGTGACTTGTGTTAGCAATAAGTAGTTAGTGATATAGTTATGTATATTTTATCGGAGAGATAGCTCTTATATTGTTAAGTAGGTATGTAATTTTATATACTAATAGCAACTGTTAATAAAATTAGAATGATGATATTAAAAATTACTTAAAACTGAACACTTATTACGAAGTACTTCTTTAGATGCATTGTTTATTCATATATAGACATATTTTATACATCGACGATGTCGACTGATGTCTTTTCTATACATTTATTCGACATTTTGTTATAGTTCAAGTGCTGAGTACTTAATGATACCGTTTGTATAACATTTTATGGAAGTTCTGGCTAGACCAATAAGGACCACACGCTATAATATTGTTAATAAAGAACTTTTGCTATTTAATGGGATTATCCTGATATTGAACATAAAATAGACGAAGTGTTAATTTCGAAGTGAATCTCAAAATCTTAGTAAAATGGCAGTACAACAGTCTAATGAATGCACACCACTGATATTTACTGTGGGTGTGTATAGTGACAGCACATTTTTAATAGCATCATTCCAGCGAGATGTTTTATAATAGCTATGATAACTTTAAAAGATTGCCTAGCCAGTTTATGCAATGAAAATTTATTTTAATAGAGCTACATTAGATAATAAAATTAGATCAATGAAATTAAAGAAGTTGCTTAAGTGTTTTGATATTTTACTGTGATAGAACTAGGACTAGTTCAAGTATATTATTTTCTACAAATAGTTTATCAACTTTTTTTATAAATTAGCACTTGAAGCCGTTTGGATGCGTATGATTTGGTCTGAATTAAGTAAAAATATCTAACAACAACAATAATAAACATTAAACCAATAGCAATGATTTTCAAGGTGTTTCAAATTATAATCAGGTTCACGATTACACAGCATACATAAAATGTATAAATCAACCACGCCCAATCATAGTTCCTAGTTTCATTATATAGGTGCATTTTAATTTATGTATGATACGTTATGTGTTGTTACACGTGTGTGCTATCGTACTGTGACAAACACTCTTAGGTTTATTTATAACTACTACGTTATTTATTAATATCGGTGAAGTAAGTAAACAGTTTTAGAATTTATTAAGTAGATACATCTTTTCATTTAACAAAAATTAAGTACATGATAATTTTGTAGCACTAATGTTTAAATTAACCATGTCGTCATAAAAGCTACTTATTTTTCATAAAAATATGGATGAATTTAAAAGTACAAGAATATTTTTTCATGTATTTTATTGATGTAATACAGGAAAATGCGGTAATAAAATATGGTTGCAGTTTGCTATGCTCTATTAATTCTAAATAATTCGGCAATGAATATAATAAAATACGTTTTACTTTACATGCTTTGCTCAAACGGAAATTCGATAAACAAAATATTTTATGTAAATTACAGGAATCTAAGAAGTACCCTTATATAAGGTTTCTGGTTTCAGCATTGTATGACCATTTAAAAGGTATGGAAACTTTCTGCAATAATTAACAAAATGCCACATTCCATTGTATCTGGAGGGTCATAAATTGTGTGTTGATTTTATTACTACCTGCAGAAAATGTACATATCAATAAGCCAAAAATATCGTATGGCGTACATACTTATATTTATTTATGTTTAGAAATAGTTATGTATTTTCGATATTTCTTTTTCAAAAATTATTGATTGTTATTACATGCTTATAGATATTTTTTGTAATAAGTTCAATTATGTTTGAACCTGTGTAAGGTAGTAATCAAATTCATTATATACCTACACGCTAAAGTATAGGAGCCCCTAGAAATGTTATTATTTCAAAAATAAATTTGTATAAAACCAAATGTTGTTGTTTCTCTTAATAATATGTGCATTAACGTTTAAAAAAGATTGACATGTGTGAAAATCATTACTTACTACAAAGTCAATGTTCTGGTAAAAGAATTTGACCATTACAATGAGTATGTTTTTCATTTACTTAACTATTACCTAATTGATTAAGTAGTCAATTAATTCACACAGTGCATAAGTACAAACGTACAAGTTACTTGGTAGCAATGGCAAATGAAGACGCCTGCCACCCATCCCTGCTAGCTGCCCCGAATATCGGCTGTGACAGCTAAACAACGCGTCTGTTATTCTGCAATCGAGCGCATTGTGAGTTTGTTCACCTTTTGACTGTCGTTCTCATATAGGTACACATATAATATGTTGATACATACTACTTACTACTCCTTACTTTATTTATTTATCACACTTTAATTTTGCTTTGTTTGACTGCTGTTACAGGCTGACTTCATAACCGAGTGAAATAAAATCCAAACATCAGAGTAATCATTTATCTATCTCAATTTTAGAGGAGTGTGCAGTGAAGTAATATCTAGGACAGCAAAATGTGATAGATATTGCGTACATCATTTTTTCATAATTTACGTAATCATAATTATTAAAATAATACAGCTATTCACAATCCATCAGATCTTATAAATAGAGAACAATTTAATTGTCTTCGTGTTACTTTTCACACTTACATAGGTAGATACTTATTTTAAAATATGTAGTAGTGATTAAAAAGTGAGACCGCAATAAAACATTGATGTTTATATGAATTTAGTATCCGCCTGCTGATCATGCATTCTATGTTAATGAGTTTCTAAACACTTCATACATGGCAGGCACAATCAGACGGATTTCTAGCAGGTTTCTTGGGAGCGCTAAGCCTCTTGGATGTGCCGGTACCATATTGTATGCCGGAACCTATTCTTTCAGGGTCTAACTCTCCTGTTTCAATCTTTGCCAAAATGGTTTTAGAACACTTTAAGAAAGCTTCCTCTACATTTTCGCCCGTTTTAGCACTAGTCTCCAGGAACATCAATTCTGAAATGTTTAAAGTATTTATTGTCATAGATATAAGGTATCACACTATATGTATAAGGAACAGCTTTTAACAAGTTAGTGGGATAGATGCCAGAGTTACTTACCATTTTCTTGGGCGAACTGACTAGCTTCTGTGAATGTGACTTCTCTTGATTCTTCCATGTCTTTTTTGTTTCCCACAAGTAAAATCACAATATTTGGACTAGCCAAAGTTCTGGCGTCTCTGAGCCAATTCGATAGAGCATTAAACGAGTCTCGAGATGTAATGTCATATACAAGCAAAGCTCCTGCGGCACCTCTATAATAAGAGCGTGTAACTGAACGGAATCTTTCCTGCCCGGCCGTATCCCATATCTGTAATTTAGTAGACTTTCCTCCTATGTTTACAATTTTCGAACCAAACTCGACTCCGATTGTGTGACATCTATCTTCTTTAACTGTAAAAGAGATAATTTGTCATCAAGCACTTTGATTTCAAGTAATGTTGGAAGGCAAACTACTAATTACTTCTCAACTATCCCATATCAGGACCTGCATACCAACACCAACCACCAATAGAAACTTTCGGAATATCATAATATGCCATTATGATTCTGCTTTTATTGTGATAATAATCATCCAAAATTTGTATCATTTTGGATGACTGCACTGTACTGTATTGTTTCACTGTTTAAAAATTTTAACCTATTGCTAGTCCTGAACTGGATTCCAGTAAGAAAACTGTGAACTACATACATTATACTAAGACTAGTAAATTAGTGTTGTATGTAACCACTTTAGTCTAAAATGATCAAGTCTTAGCTGTGTTTAGTAGCCAAAAGGAATTAAATTCTTTTTTATTTGAACATGTCAAAGTCAAAAGGTCACAAAGGTCTTCATACTCTCACATTTCTCACTTTCCTCTAGACAAATAAACACAACTCAACAACAAAAGATATAAAAAATCTATATATATACAAACTACCTAGAGTGAAGATAATGACAATGCACACATAACTATGCACCTCTTCAATAAGTTGCCTTCGCTTGAAGTGCATGCACAGACAACTTAATGTAGAGGCAATTAAGGTTCATGAACCGGTTGTGATGATGATGATAAATATTGACATGATTAAAGAGAAAGAGACTTACTTTAATTTATTACATACGGAATAGGTTGGAAACAGTTGATTTTGGTTTAGCAAAGTAATAGCGAAAATTAAAACATTTTCTACTGTGAGATCTTTAAACTCTATATTAATATATGTTGAATCCAATAGACAGTTGTTTTGTCCCCCTATAAAATTTTCGGAACCTCTTTGAGTGGGAAAATTTATCGTATGGCTTCTCCTGTGGGAGGAGTATAATAATGTACTGACTGAAACCTACCCCGTTGCAACGCGGCCCTGGCCTGTACAACGGGGTCCGCAATCCCGGTTGGACTTTAGCCCTATTGAGCCCATCTGTGATGGTCTGATGGCCTTGAAACGCGATGCAGGCAATAAGCTACCTTTGCTAGCCGAGCACAGGCTTGTACTCACAGTGGCCATAGATGGTTGCATGATCCACAACAACCTGTGGTGCAGTATGTGCACTTGGTGTGTAAGAGGATGAATGTTGCCCTCATTTGCTCCTCTACCTCTTTACCTCTAGCATGACTGCTTCGCAGGACAGAAACAGCTTCCCAGCCTGACACAAGATCAGGTAACAACCAAAACCTACCACCATTTCATCCAGATGATCGTCATTTGATATAATTTAATATGATTGTTTCATTCATAAATATAGTTTTTAGTAACTACTAACTACCCAGTGTGGTGGTAGTACTGCAATTGGATATTTCTTAGGTCAAAAATAAAGTTTTAGTACAAGGTAAAATATGATTATACTTTCACTCATTGATTTGATGATATACTTAATTTTAGGCTTTTTAATTTTAGATTTTTTAAAGTGGACTAGCCACTTTAAAAAAAAGTATGCTGTTTGACATAAAAACATTGCGGTTTACAAATTCAAAGTATTGTTTAGGACATTTCAATACAAGTGTTGAATTTGACTAGTTGGAAACTACCAAATTTATAATATTTTGTCATACCTTGCACTGCGAGATGCTATTTGTTATAAGTTGAAAGGGTTTATAGTTATACCCTATTCTAAGAAATGTAATCATAAAAAGTTCCAACTGACAGCTCAATAATAATAAGCATTTCTTAACACAAAGGCAGTCTACCTGCCTATGTGTGAATTGTATTGTTTTGTCCGATAAAATAGATTTATTTAAACTACTTGCAATATGACCTCAAGTGTAAATGATATCAAAGTGAAGGTGCAAAGCCCACAACTTAAATGCCGTAATTGGAACTAACGCCAAAAATATGGGTGTATCGTGTAGTTCGTGTACTGTTTGCTATACGTTTCTCGGACCATTACCTCGCCTATATATGCGTATCACTTACATTTGTTTCCAATGAAATTATTGAGAAGACTCGATTTTCCCGTCCCAGCACTTCCTATTACTAAAAATTTAAATAGGTATTCTGAAACAAGGAAATTTTATGTAAACAACAATTAGTATTGTTGACTGTCTTCTGTTCTAGTAATATAATACATATTTACATAGAACAACAATATTATTACATACCGTAGGATTCAGACATCGTGTAAGATCATGTAATAACGCACTTTCAGGTCACCAAACTAGCTTTGTTTAAGAATGTAAACTACCACGATCATAAAAATTTATACTTTTACACTAATTTAGGATTCTAATCTGATTTTACGCCAAATTTTGCTTTCACAACACAACATTCAGTTCATTCAAGACATTGACATTTGACATGAAGGCTTTTTCTAATATTTAATAGTATCGAAATAGAACCAAGTCCTTATATCATTCCAGATTAAACAAAATACCAAGGATCCTATACAAATTAAGATTTATCTTTCTTTTGTTAATAGTGAACAGTGCGTGGCCTATGTTTTTCATCGTTCAAAAGTTTTGTTATGCAGGACAGAATGTTAATAGACTTAATTCCTCCACAAATAGGAATCTCCGGCAGTGGTATCTCCGAACCGATACGACCTTCAAACCTTCAATAAACGAACGTAGAACGTACTCCTATAACAAAGCCGGCAATGCGTCTGTGACTCCTCTGGTGCAACGGGTGTCCACAGACACCGATAACAATACTTACTTAACGTAGTGATTATTTTTGCTCAGTGATAGAACCATTACCATCAGACGATCAGTCTGCTCGTTTTTATTCCATAAAAAAATAAAAAATTGTCCGTAATCTGTAATGTGACAGTGACAGCCTGATTTGACTTTGACTTGTTTGTTTGTTAGTTTGCAAAATTCACCAAATCCTAATAAAATTGTACCTTGAAAAATGAAAGTGAAATAATTTTTTGTCAGTTTTATTAATCACCAAAACCGGTCATCAATACTATTTACTCTTTGCTGGTGATGTTAATAAATAATTTTCAAAATAAATAAAAATGCAGTGCTCCGTTCCTAAAGTGCGTTTTATTTATAAGTGACATTTGTTTAATATTATTCTGGTTAATGTGCATACATACATAATGTCTTTTTATTATTTTTGTTCTTAGGTATTGCGAACAACCCCTCGGACATTTGTTCCTAGGAATAACCAAGTTAGAACTTTTTGGGAGTATGTTAACATGATGTTTAATAAACCAGATCCTGATCGAATCAAACAACTTGGTCCAGATCGAGCCTGTGCTGAATGGGTATTACGTAACGGTGGCAAAGTAATATGGGAAGGCGGCAAGAAATTAGATGATTATAACTCATTACCACCAGAGGGTATACCGGTTCCTAAATTAGTAACAATTGATGGCACAGACTCTTCTATTTCACATTATGGCTTCCCTCATTTAAGTGGGTACCTAATTCTACTTTATTTGCATTATTCACAATGGTGGATGTGACAACCTTAAGAACTTGAGGTTATTGATTAAATTTTATAATAATTTATATTTTCAGTTGGATGTGAGAAGTTGAGTAACATAATCCTTCACAATGCTGACTATATTGATGACAGAGCTCTTAAAGGCCTCAGTTTTGGACAAAATACATTGACACATCTTCAAGTGTCCAAATGTGTGAATGTCACCGATGCTGGACTAAAAAGCTTGGTATCACTTGATAAATTAGAAATTTTACTTATGTTCAACTTAATGAGTGTTGAAAATTTACAAGAATGTAAGCAATATATTCAAAAACATTTGCCTAAATGCAAAGTAACAGACTTGAAAGGTATGCAACCAAATAATAAGTAGCACCTGCAAAGTAATTTTGGATTTTATGTTGTTTTTTTTTGGTTTTCAGATCCAACACCTCTGAATGATAAATCACAGTAAAAAAATATGATAAGAAATATAATGTATATTTTATAATATTGAATATAACTAAAACTAGTCAACTGTAAATACAAAGTTGTAATATTGAGGTAGTATTCTTACAATAAAAAATATAAATTAGTTTGTGACTCCTTTTCCAACAGCTTCATTTACACTTTTATAACCATCCCGTTGCAGGAGTTCAGCTAATTCATTTTTTATTTTTGACACAACTGGTGGGCCGTGGTAAATCAAAGCTGTGTATATCTGAACTGCGCTTGCTCCAGCCAATATTTTATCATAGGCATCTTGGCCAGTAAACACTCCTCCAACACCAATGATGGGCACTTTCCCTGAAATTAATTAAGAATTAGGTACAACTGAACTCTAATGACAAGAAAATTCAAGACAATAAAATTGAACCCAGATTGTTATGAATGTATAAATACCTTTAGTCAATTTGTACATTTGCTTAATCATTTCTGTTGATTTATTAGCTAAAGGTTTCCCACTCAATCCTCCAGTTTCATTTGAAAACTCAGTGTTCTGCAATTGGTGCCTTTCAATAGTAGTATTCGAGATTATAAGACCATCAACTTTGCTTTCATTTTGCAAAATTACTGATACAATCTCTTTCATTTCATTATGACTTAGATCTGGAGCAAGTTTCAAAAGTAAAGGAGGTTTATTTTTTGAGTTTATTGAGTTTCTAGCTTCATTGATGTTCTTCAGAAGTTGATATAATTCCTCTTTCTTCTGCAATGACCTGAGTCCTGGAGTGTTTGGGCTGTAAAGATAAATAATTAATACCTATTGAAGAGTAAAAGATTATAAATGACAAGAATCTCTCATGTGTATGTAGGTACCTGCTTATATTTATGACAAAATAGTCTGCAACATCAGAGAATTTCTGTATACCTAAAATATAATCTTCAATTGGATTTTCTGATAACTTATTTTTGCCTAAATTAATTCCCAATAATCCTTTATCCAACAATGCCTTTTCTATCATTCCTATTTTCTTATATACTTGCTCATGCCCTTCACTATTGAAACCATATCTGTTAATAACTGCCTCATCTTCAGGTAATCGAAACACTCTAGGTTTAGGATTCCCAGGTTGTGCTTTTGGTGTGACTGATCCAATTTCTACAATGGAAAAACCTAAGTTTCTCAAGCCTATAACAGCATCACCATGCTTGTCAAAACCTGCTGCAATTCCAAGAGGATTACTCAAATCGTAATTGAGGAATTTTGTTTTCTGAAAAATTTTAGAAATTTTAAAAATTTGTAATCTGAACATGTGATGTGCATCTTTACTCAGAACTTGATTGTAATTATTTCCCTTACACTGATTGTACTTACCAAAACTTGAGGATCATCACCTTTTTCTGGCGGGAAGATTCCATATTTTATAGCTTTAACTCCCAAATTATGAGCCAACTCTGGGCTAAGATACTGAATAACTGGTTGCAAAACATTAACATAGTAACCGTTAAAATCTTTTGTATAATAAATTAACTGGTAAGCTACAGCTCCGCCAAGAGTTACAGTACATAATGACTTGAGTTTACTCTGGAAATATACAACACATATAAAAAAAAAATCAATTTAAAAAAAATACAATAATTGGTGAATATAGACACTCACAATTGCTTGCTTTTTGCTCGCCATTGTTGATAAATTATATAATTAAAATAGTAATGTTAAGGTTATCAGATCAGTCACAAGTTCACAACTTTTTATTCTTGATTTACATTCTTATCCATGCCACAGTGACTGTGTAGTCTCGTTCCAAATAGTACCTATCGATATTAGGTACTCAGTTTACTGATTATATTCTTTGAAAAATAATTGGTAGGTACCTATATTTATTATTCTAGGCAAAGAGAATATAAGCACTATGCAGGTATATGTACTACGTTTGATTGTAGGTAGAAAATATGGATCTAAGGAATAGACAATAGTAGGGATGCTCGATGAACATCGATATTCGTCATTCATCGAATTGAAAACAAAATGTCGCTAAAAACTTCAACTGTTCAAAAAGAACATATTATACGAACAACATTGACACAAATTCTGGAGGGCGCCAAAGCCTGAAGTTGGGGTCTCTTGCCTTTCTTGGTGCAAACTCTCACAACTGTGCTCTACTCTCTGTGCATATCCATTTTTTATAAGATAGATTTTTTGAGTGTTTGTGGTCGAGTAGTAACTCTAACGATATCAATACGATCAGCAAAAAACTAACACTTGATATTGCGTCCCTGAAGTGGGCGCCAATATAGTTTCGCCCGGGGTGTCAGTGCCTCTTACGCCGGCAATGCATCGATGTTACTGGAATCGACCGAATCGAAATGTTTGCTTATCGCGCACGACAAAATCTATGCATCTATTTTACGAAACCAACATTTTGTCTTTTATGAACACACCCACACTTCAGTGCCACTGTCACTTACCACACCACGAGGGTTTCCAATCCAGAGGTTTTCCGTTTTATAAGGTAAACGAATAATAGCTTTTTCAAGTTTAAATTATCATTCTGTTTTTTTTAGCTAGTTTCATCTCCACTACCAATATTTTATGTTACTTTTCTCTTAAAAATCTTTTTTCACTGATTTGAAAGTCTTTTTTATGATGTAAGAACAATTCTATAATTGATCTTAACTTTTAAACCGTCATGGATACTAACCGAACGGCGTACTAATAATAAAGAATATAATTAGGATCTATATAATTATCATTGTTTTAGTTTAATAATTGTGGTGTCCATTAGAATATGGTATCAAAATAAAGAGACAATTTTGAAAATAAATCTTACAGAATAGGGTTAAAAGTAGATATAGTAGCAAAACATAACAATATCAATTCTTCATAAAGTAGATGCTGTCATTTAGTTCAGCCTATGATTTGTTCCACTAAATGCACCAAACTGAAATAATTTGTATGTTGTTTATTTGCACAGATTCCCTAAAAATGAAGTGCTACGTCAAAAGTGGTTTTAAGTCATTGGGACGGAAAATATCAAACCTGGACTTAAAGCGCCACGTATTTTTTCATTACTTTTCGCAGAATTATCCTTCAATAAACCCTTAATGTTATAAGGCTGCGTGATGATGCAGTACTGTCAATCGACCTTGTTGTAAAAAAGTTAAAAAAAAACAGAAGGGCTGGTTCAGCGTGAAATCAAAAATGTCGAAGAACTGTCTTCATGGTAACTCAATCACTCTTATCAGTGAAACAATATAAAAATGTCAAAAATGTCTTAATATCTCTTTAAAATGAAGCATTTTGTTTTGACCTGATTGATGATTTCTTATGGTAAATAAACGTACTTTTTTCCAAAATGTTTTGCCGTTTTAATAAACTTGTAACACGAGTGCAACATGGGTTGCTCGCCATCTGGTAACTAACCGGACCGAGATTAGTCGTCAACATGGTGATCCACGCGATTCTTAAAGAAATGTAAGCAAACCGGCAGGGGGATGCCCGTTTGCTAGGGCCGCGGGTAATTTTTGAAAAGGAAACCCGTAGTCCTAAAACGCAACGAGCAACTGCCACTGAAGAACACAGGTATGTTTTTAGCCAGTAAAAGTCTTACATGCTCCCTACTCCCTTGCTCTATCCAGAGCGCGAGAAGTCATTCGATGATATCGACCTTCAAAAAAAAAACCAAAGTACCTGTACATCGATATACTTTTTGGTTTTGACTACAGTCTTCCCTAGCAATGGCAGCCATCATTAGGGCCGCGATTTAAAGTAGGTATCCACGCTTGTTTTGTAGGTAGGTATTTCTGGTCCATATTATTGTAGGTCTGTACCGTTGTGACACTCGGTGACAGTTCGCTTTGACAGTGACAGTGTAAAATTATTGAATACCTACCTATTATTGCTTGCTTCTTATTGCTTGGGATTGGGACTGTTTGCTGTAGTTAGTTAGCTACGTTAATTTTGTGATCCCTTCCCTATAAAATATAGTTCAATTTGAAAACGATCTACCTATCTTGTTACTTTTTATGTATAATTTAAGTAGTACTTATTCAGGATTGAGTGCGTCTGCATAGAGAATCAATAAAATAATAGTTCAATATTAATCAAAATGAAAGCTGCACTAGTTTTTGATAGTGTAAATGATTTGGTATTTGGAAAATGGGATGATGTTTTCATTGAGCGTATGAAGACGTTTAGCGTACAGGCAAGTTCTAGTCTCACTTTGAATTTTCATTGCTCGACTCTATAATTTTTCTCATTTAAAATGCAGTAGGACATAAAAGGTGTTTTTTTGTTTCTAAGCTTGTAAAAAAGTGTATATATCTTATCATTTATTTTCTTTAAATTACTAAAGCAGTCAATTTGATTTTCAATGAGTATTTAAATAAGACTCCTTTACTGCAAGCAAATCCAACAAAGTGAAGCTGTCTTTGCAGACTATGACTATGAATATAAAACTAACAAAATAAGAATTGTTTTGTATTTGAGAGTCTTTTGTTCTATATTGATTTGATGAAATGAAATACTTCAATAAATTCTTAAGCTCTACTTGGAGTGGTAATCTGACTTTTTACTCCTACAGGAGAATCAAAATGATGTAACGGAGAACAATACAGTGTCTCAACTCCTGGCCCCTATAATAACATCCCAGCGTGTGATGGCGGCCCAGTTTGGAAATACTTACTCATCCATGCAATGTAAAGACAAGACTACAATAGTATTTGATGAGGTAATTTTAGAGATTTCAACATTATTTAAGTATTGTGTGTGTTATGTTTTTCTACTTCTTCCAATTGTTGCCCAGTAAAGTAGCAACCCTTTCAATAATCTAATCTGATTGAATTTACAAACATATATTGTACTAGCATGGATTTTTGAACTGTCGCAGGTGTCTAGCCATAGGCTTATTTATTATATGAAATTCATAATGCAACTGATTAACAGTGTTTTTCAGACTTTTAGTAAATAAAATTGTGTGTCAGAAGAGGTAAGCAAAAGGTGCTTACCTCTTATGATACAAAAAACCATTAATCAATTTGCTAATGTATGTTTATATGGTAGTGATATTCATTATATTGTATTGAACTAATCTCTCAACGTTGTCCAACAGTGGCTTGATCATGTATTTGTAATAATCAGTGAAGACAATGTTGATGATGCTCACAGAGAACTGTTAGATTTCAAAACATTTGTACAACACATTTGTGGTCAAAATGTTAATCTGTAAGTATTTAATATTTTTAAATAAATATATCATAATAATGAAAACATTATAATATTTTTATTGCTTGGATTAAGTTAACTTTAAAAGTTATAATGTTTAAATACAACCAACATATTTAATATTACAGACTGCATTCTTCTATATATCAAGACTGGCTCTCAGTTCTCTTGGAGAGCCGCACAAAAGGTGACACCATACCTGGTGCTAATGGTGTGATTGGAGAGAGTGGAGCAACCATGGCGGCACTAAATGCCCTCAAAAGTGCTTCAAAAGACATTAAACTACCATACCAGCACAGCCATCTAATGTTGTTTGTAGGAGACAAGCTCCTGGCACTTTATTCTAGGTAATAATTGTTAAATACATGTTTCGCCCAAATGTCTCAGTTCAACCGGAGTGAAAGCACGGACTCACAGAATACCGGCGTGAAGCAATTGATACGTTATGTTTTGCCGTGTGAGGGAGGTTACCGAAGGCCCAATCCTTCACCCCCATCCTCAATCGTCAAATTCCCTATCCTTAAATCCCTAATAACCGACAAGAGGCCGACGACGCACTTGTAGTAACTCCTTTGGTCTTACGAGTGACAATGGGCGGCGTCGATTGCTTACCATCAGGTAATCCTTCTGCTCGTTTGCCAAACTATGTTATTAGAAAAAAGGATAATGTAACAAGTTTCAGGGGCCTATATTTGTGAGCTGTATATGTGATAACCGACGCGCCGCGAATAAGGCAGCTCTGTACAGCATAATACCTATACTGAATAAGCAGTTTAATGATGTTACACTCGGAAAAAATATAGTATCACAATCCCATTTGTGTTTTAGTCGCGGAAGTGAAGATTTGTCGCCGCCAGATTTAATTTTATTAAGCATTCAATGCATAGCTGCTCAAGAGTATTGGAAAGAAGTTAGCAATGAAGACTCTGATGAAAATGATCCTCAAATTGTCAGATTACCTTGTAAGTTTTTACTATGTTTGTTGATGGACCAAAAACTAATAAAATTTTACTGCATTGTCAGTCCTACTCACACTAGTACCTAGCTGAAAAATAAAATAACAGGAAAGTATTCCTCGATGTCGCTAAATTGGACCTTCCTGGTCTGTTTACAAATTTCACATCGATTTTGGTCTGAGTTTAGTTACAACGTACTTGTAAGTGTTAATTGCTTAAAATGTTATATGTATGTTTCCAGGGTTGTCAACGGAAAACAGTGCCGTCGTGAATCTATGCGCGGGTCCTACAGGTAGCCCTTGTGCGCCGCATTCTATACACCTTGCTGAAGTCGCACCCAGAATCACTTTTGCTGTCGTTGTTGATATGGATTTAAGGTGGTTGTCTACCAATTTTTATGATTGCAAGAATTTCATTTAGTGACAAGAAAAGTTTATTATATTAATCCATTAAAGCTTTACACGTTTCCTTCTAGAAAATGAATCCCTTATCTATTAAAATATTGTAGCCAAAATGAACTTAATAAATACATCAGTCCTTATTTTATAACATTAGAAAATTCTACTTACAGGGAAGTTGGTGTTTCAACTTATATGGCAAATCAAATACTCTCAAATTTAAGAAGGCTGTTACTGCAAAGAAATTTGGAGTTATTGCCCAACACTTTGGATGCTTTAGAAACAGCTCTGAAAAAGGTTTAATATAGTGATAGAATGTTTATTATAATATTTCACAAATTGGTTGAAAATAAGTATTATAAGATTATTTATTCTTTCAGACAACT